ACTCAGAGAACTAAACTCCGTCATAAACATCCATCTAAGCTACAAATTTTCTTCATCTCAATACTAAATTCAAATTGTTATTCGAACACAACACAATATACCATTTTTAATTCAAGTTTGGGAGTATTGTTGAATTTTGTGGTTTGCTTTACTGACTAACTAACCTCTGTCGAATAATGGTTGCAAGCTAGATTGTAATGGATAAACTGTTTTCTCGTTACATGGGGTCATTAACAACACAGATCCATGACCGTAGATGAGGTCAAACACACGACCATCATATATGAAAATGAGCGTTAATCCTTTAAACCAGTGAATAAGGATTTCGCTGTTTTCATTTTTAACTCAAATCACTTCATAGCATTGATCAACCAGCATCCAGTGACACAGGTGTGTAATTGTACTGTGTACAGTATGGTTTAACTGCATAAATCACTATTTCTCACTCCGTAAATTTTCTCTTATCAATGGTGAGCAAATGATTATTATTCATATGAAGAGTTTGTAGAAGTTTTTATTGCTTATAGTTGAAATTACAAATTGATTTAGTTTGGATGACTATTGCAAACCATCAAAATATACTTTATTTTTTAATTGACACATCAGTAGACTAGAGCAATTCCATTTTTTCGGGACTCATTAACATAGCCTATCTACAAAGATGAAGAATTCGACGTGGTCAGGTTTACACTAGCTGTACTTCGAAGTTTGATATATTAATGTGAATTTAATAAGTTTACATGTATACAAACTCTTCGGTTGATTTTGATTAGTGTTAACAAACTTATGTGATTGCCTTTTGTTATAGAAAGCCTATGAGAGGTTTTTGAGCAACAGTAATAATAATGTGTAGAGGATACCAGTGTTATGATGTTATAATAACGATTATAGTATTGTTTATAAATACAGTGGGTTTTAGGAATGATGTCTTCAACAATACCAAAATTTTCTTAATAACTGATCCTAAACATGACATATTATTACTTACTTACTTTCGCCTGTTACCCCCAATGGAGCATAGGCCGCCCACCAGTTTTCTCCAACCAACTCTGTCCTGGGCTTCCCTCTCCAGTTCTGTCCAATTCTTGTTCATTCCTCTCATATCTTTCTCTATTTCTCGGCGTAGTGTGTTCCTTGGCCTTCCTCTTTTCCTTTTGCCTTGAGGGTTCCATGTGAGGGCTTGTCTAGTGACGCAGTTGGGTGCTTTTCGTAGTGTATGTCCTATCCACTTCCACCGCTTCTTCCTGATTTCCTCCTCCATTGGAATCTGACTTGTTCTCTCCCACAGTTCGTTGTTGCTGATGGTGTCTGGCCAACGAATCCGAAGTATTTTACGTAGACAACTGTTAATAAACACTTGTATCTTCTGGATGATGGCTTTGGTAGTTCTCCATGTTTCCGCTCCATACAGTAGAACTGTTTTGACATTTGTATTGAAGATCCTGATTTTGGTTTTGTTTGAAAGTTGTTTGGAGTTCCAGATATTTTTCAACTGTAGAAATGCAGCCCTTGCTTTGCCAATCCGCGCCCTCACATCTGCGTCCGATCCACCTTTCTCGTCGATGATGCTGCCAAGATATGTGAAGGTGTTAACGTCCTCCAAGGTATCTCCATCAAGCGTGATTCGGTTGGTGCATGTTGTGTTGCATCGGAGAATTTTGCTTTTTCCTTTATGTATCTTGAGACCTACTGCTGCAGAGGCTGCTGCTACACTGGTCGTCTTCTCTTGCATTTGTTGTTGAGTGTGCGATAGAAGAGCCAGGTCATCTGCGAAGTCCAGATCGTCCAGCTGCGTCCTAACTGTCCAGTTGATACCGTGCTTCCCTCCAGATGTTGACGTCTTCATAATCCAGTCGATGACCAGGAGAAAGAGAAAGGGTGAGAGTAAGCAACCTTGCCTGACACCGGTCTTCACCTCAAAAGAGTCTGTCAGCTGACCTCCGTGTACGATTTTGCAGTTGAATCCATCATAAGAATTCCGTATGATGTTGACTATTTTCTCAGGCACACCGTAGTGTCGAAGAAGCCTCCACAGTGTTTTCCTATCCACGCTGTCAAATGCTTTCTCGTAGTCGATGAAGTTGATGTAGAGTGGTGAGTTCCATTCAATTGATTGTTCCACAATGATCCGTAATGTAGCAATTTGGTCAGTACATGATCGATCCTTACGAAATCCAGCCTGTTGATCTCGAAGTTGGGCGTCGACGAAGTCCTTCATTCTGTTTAACAATACCCTGTTGAAGACTTTGCCTGGTATTGAAAGAAGAGTGATGCCTCTGTAGTTTTCACACTTGCTGAGATCGCCTTTCTTTGGTATTTTGATGAGGTATCCTTCTTTCCAATCTGATGGTACTTGTTCCTCATCCCAAATCTTCTTGAAGAGAATGTGAAATATTTTCGCAGTTGCTTCCACATCTGCTTTCATTGCCTCTGCTGGAATGTTGTCTGGTCCTGCTGCTTTGCCGCTCTTGATTTGTCTGATGGCTATACTGATCTCCTCAATCGTGGGTGCGCCAATATTAATTGGGAGGTCCGTGGATGCTGCTTCGATGTTGGGTGGGTTCAGTGGAGCTGGTCGATTCAATAGTTCCTTAAAGTGCTCCACCCACCTATTTCGCTGTTCGTCAGTGTTGCTGATTATTTTCCCTTCCTTGCTTTTCACTGGTCGTTCTGGTTTACGATAGTTTCCGGCGAGCTTCTTTGTTGTTTCGTACAATTGTCTCATGTTTCCTTCTCTTGCAGCCTTTTCCGCCGTCATTGCTAGATCTTCCACATATTTTCGTTTGTCAGCTCTGATGCTCTTCTTCACTTCCCTGTTTGCTTCTGTATACTCGGCTTGCGCCTTAACTTTCTCTGCTCTTGTTCGGCTGACATTCACTGCTGCCTTCTTGTTCCTCCTTTCTTGAATTTTTTCAAGAGTACCAACAGAGATCCATTCCTTGTGATGGTGCTTCTTGCGACCAAGGACCTCCTGACATGTTGAAGTGATTGCCTCCTTAATCCCTTTCCAATTGTTCTCCAATGTTGCTTCCTCTCCATTGAGTAGATCCTGAAAGGCCTGGAACCTATTGGTGAGGGCTATCTTGAATTCGTTGAGTTTTACGGTATCCCGAAGAAAGGCCGTATTAAACTTCTGTGATGTTGTCTGCCCCGTTGTCCAGTGCTTCTTTAGCTTGAATCTCATTTTGGCGATCAGCAAGTGGTGATCTGAAGCTGTATCAGCTCCTCTCTTGGTTCTCACATCCTCCATGGTCCTTCTGAACTTTTTGTTGATACAGATATGGTCAATTTGGTTTTGAGTAGTGTGATCCGGTGAAATCCATGTGGCTTTGTGAATGCGTTTGTGTGGGAATATTGTGCCACCGATGACCAGTTTGTTGAAGGCACATAGGTTTGCAAATCTCTCACCGTTTTCGTTTCTTTCTCCCAGTCCATGTCGTCCCATGATGTCTTCATATCCAGTGTTGTCCATTCCAACCTTGGCATTCAGGTCTCCCATAAGAATCGTCAAATCCTTTGGTGAACATTTCTCGACGATTGACTGCAGCCTTTCGTAGAATTGATCTTTAACGTCGTCATTGTAGTCATTGGTAGGTGCATAACATTGGATGACGTTTATTGTAATGTCATCTTTCTTTGTTTTGAAGGATGCTTTAATGATCCTCGGCCCATGAGATTCCCATCCTATCAGTGCCTTTTGTGCATGTTTGGACAGCATCAGTGCAACTCCTTGTGTATGTGAAGCGTTTTCCTCTTCATGACCAGAGTATAACAGCAGTTCCCCTGAAGCAAGTCTCAGTTGTCCTACCTGTGTCCAATGTGTTTCACTGATGCCGAGCACCTCGAGGTTGTATCTTTTCATTTCTGCAGCAACTTGAAATAGTCTTCCAGTCTCCCACAATGTACGAACGTTCCATGTACCTAAAAAAATGGTTGCTCTGGTTGTCAGAAGAGGCATCGGCCCCGTGACTTCCGAGGGGACTCGGCTTTCATCACGAGACGTCATAATTCTTCTTCCAACTCCCAGGGCAGAGTTAAAATGGTTTGAATTATTTTTTCTGGTTAGCGTTTTTTTGGCAAGTTAGATTTCAACGGAATGGGGCCGCCAACCCCATGTCCAACCCTCCTCCTTTATCCGGGCTTGGGACCGGCAGTAGCCCCTAAGGTTCTACTGGCGGAGTTATGACATATTATGGAGTATTTTAAATATTAATTCACACTCACATCAAATATTTGTTTTTATAACGAGCCAAATTCATGTGAATATCTGACCAACTTATGAAATCAATATCGTGACTGTAGTATCGTTAGCCTATTAGGTTGAACTATATTTGGAAACCTAGATAACGACATGGTATCGTTTGATATTTTTACAGATTAAGAGACAAAATTAATACCTCTACCCTCAAGTTTATTCAACATTCAAGCCTTTTAATGGGTTTGTCACAAATTCAGATATACAGTTTATTTTTTTAATGTCAGGATTTTTTTGAGGGCAGGTTCGTTAGATGATACATTGTCCTCATCAAAACTCAATAAGAACCAATGCACCATACAATCTGTAGAGGTTTCTGGTTTTTTTACGTTTGTTACAATTTCTCTGTCATTGGTAAACACAACTAATCTGCTGATTGGTTAAAAAGACTGACCTTGTTCATTACGTGAATGATTCATCAACTGTTGGTTAAATTAGAAAATAGACATAATTTAATAGTGTTTGTGATGGGCTGACAGACATGGTCGAAAGTTCATTTCTCTTAGAGAAAAAAGAACAGAAATGAGCGAATTATAAACCACATAGGCTAGCCATTATTTATTTCATTAATAATTAGCTGCTTACTGTGGAATCATTGAATACTACTTCTTTATGAATAAGTCATGGGTTTAAAAAGATTTATCAATTATTTATTAATTTGTCAATATGTACATGTTCGTCAATATTCTAATATTGAGATGTTTCAACCATCATGAATCAGTTTATTAACATGGATGTAACCAAACTGGATTAATTAATTTATTTTAATTGTACTTATAATTCGTTTCTCAATCTGGAATTGTTTATCAAGTTCAAAACAAATCTAACAATCCATTATAATAATGTTGCCAAAGAAAAAACGTTGGATGGCAGCTGCACACACTTCTACAAGTTTAATTTCCCCTGCTTCTACTGTGACTACTGTTTCAAATATTGGTTCAAAAAAGCTGTGCTGTGATACACCTATGCAAACAGTCGGGTCAATTTCTAGATCATTACCAAATTCAATAGCTTATCCTCAATTACCGGCTAAGTCATTAACATCTGGGAGTTCACTATCAGCTGGAGATCCATATAGTTTATCTGTGCTCCAACATCAACAACAATCTATTCCAAATCGATCAACATCTAATTTAACTACCGAGTATTTACATGGTGATCGTAAGTCACAAACAGTAACATCTAGACAATCTAGTCATTCTATTAAGTCTACACTACCTGGACGTCGAAATGATGTGAATTCGAACTTGATAACGACAATTTCTCAATATCCTACGGAACTATTACAACAACAACCTGGATTACTTCTTCAGGTACTACCACAGGAATATCTTGCAAATTATGCTCAGAATTTGGCTAGGCTTAATCTTAACAAAAATTCTGGAGATGCAGTGCATCTTCCTAATGACTGTTCCTTAGGAACTAAAGTAAACAAGGTAGACGACACTTTATCTTCTATACCGAATACTGGGTATTCTCAGAGTTTATTACATCAGCATGATACTCAGGGACGTCAGACTCAAATGTCTACTCATAATAATTCGCCGAATCTACCACTCAGGATAAAAAGCCCAGACAATTCGAAGATTCAGCGGACACCTCAATCACTCAGGTCTAGTCCTATGCTTAATTCACCTGTATTCCAATATCCAGCACCTACCAGCTCGCAGAGGTTTTCTCCTCCTCCCCATCCACCTCCCAGACGTTTAAGTGGTTCTGCTGAGCAAACAAGACATGCTAAACCTTTGGCACAAAGTCATCAATTATCCAGTGGGTTTGACTTACCAACAATATCTGCTGTAGCTAGAGCAGCCAGTATGTTATCACCTTCTCAACTTGAAGCTGCAGCTGCATTACTTTCCCAGTGGGATAATGCTAACCAGTTAGCATTATTAACTAATAATTCCTCATACAGAAACTTATGCAACATTATCGATTCCTCTGGAAATAAACAACCGGTCAATCCAGGTCTTAGTTTTTCTCCACCAGTATCTTCTGAATCAAATCCTGTTACTGGTGGTTACGTTGAAAATCATGTCCAAATCACAAACAGAAGCGGGTAAGTTGTTTCAGAATTGATTGATTACTAATATTTAAACATTGCCAATGATTCAGTAGTCAGCTTTGGTTTTTATTTTTATTACCGTTCAATAATTCTAGTCATTTAGTTATTTCTAAAATATTATCTTGAAACAGTTTGAGTCGTTTTTAGTATAAATTCATGAAAGTCATTAACTTATCATCTGTGCAATGTAGTGAGGTGTAAACTTGATGGTTACAGGTTAGTGTACCAAGCATCAGTGTTTGTTGAAAAGCTTAAATAATTTGACGCAGAATAAAATCAAATATTAGTGTAGCAATGAATCTCTTCTTGAATGTTTTTATAGTATAAAATATTGTTATTAACTTTCATCCATTTACTTTGTTCAATCATGTTCAGTTTAATTCATTGAGTTTTTTTATATTCCTTTTATCTTTAACTGATTTTTTCAGAAACGAAAGAATTTCAACTGGTTCTGTTATTTTCATCTAATTTTTAACGACTAATCATACAATTGTCTGTCATGAGCAACGAATAAGTGATTTTTTTTTTAACTTACTTGATATTGTTAACAAGTCAAGACCTTATCAAAAAGTCTCGGGTGTTTCAGTTTAGCTCAGTCAGTCGGCATAGTCTCTGAATTATTTCATGTTAAAGAGTATCTCTAACGTTACTACACACTTCAAACGTATGTGGTCATACTGAACGTTTGACTAATAAAGTTGAACACACTCTTGAAATACTACACACATAACTAGAAGAACTGTCAGGTTTCCTTCAATTACCTCTTCAGTTATTATAAATACCTAGTCTGTTCTCATTTCATCGATAAGGTTAGTGATTTCTAACAATATAAAGTAATTTTTAGAAAAATATAGATAATCTTTTCACTAGTTATTCAAGCGAGTAGGTTTGAGACAGTGAGTTCTCAATTTCGGTGTGAAGTTCATTCGTTCATGTGAATAAAAGAGATTTTGCCAGCAAAGCTGACGTCAGTTCGTGATGTAAACCTTAACAGTCAGTCAGTCAGATGCAACGTAGAACTTTGTACATAAGTATATCAGTTCATGTTGCCATACCACATCAGCACAGAGAAGTAATCGTCAATTCAAATCCAATAGTAGAAGAGGTAGTGAAGGTATTAGAAGTAATCGGAGAGGTTAGGGTTAGAAGATATTATTCAAGAAGTATGATTCAGTGAGAAAAGTTTAGAGAGTCCAAACTAGAGATGTTGAAGAATCCAGAAGATTAGGATTTGAGAGAACACAAAGAGTAAATGCACCGGCGCCATTGCGAACGATTTTGAGCCATGTCATTCAAGGTCTCTAACCATCGATTATTATCATCTCGCGGACCCCAACCAGGTAGTCGACAATTACCGACATGGCTCAGTCCCCTAGTCCAATGACTTCATGGATTTCTGCCATGTTTTGGTTTGGCCGCCTGTAAACCTTAACTCTAAACCCCGATTCCATTTCATCGCATTAATTTAAAACCCTTGAACATCTACTAATGTTCGAATTTCTGAAGGTCATTTCCGTGTTTCTTAAATGTTATTCATAAATTATAGTCTCACTGTTATTCACTGGTAGCAAATTCTATTTTTTTTAATGGTAGTTTGTTTGTTCAGTGAAATTATCCCAGTGTAAATTGTTAACTAAGTCGTTCACATGAATTGCTCATTAAAAAATAACTGTTGTATGAATAGTTTTGTTGAACTTGATTTCTAAACAAAATTTTGTACATTATTAGAAAAGTTTTTATCAGTATGATTAGTATTTGTAACATCAATGTAATAGTTAAGTTTCCATCATGAGTTGTCGTATTTTTTGTTCAGGTTTTATTTATTTAGTTTTATTTTCTAGTGTCTATAGACTACTTAATTACTTCGGTTTAGGTGTATCATTTTAGACTGAATTATTGCTAATGGAATTCTTAACATACCTAGAGAGCAGTTGTTTGATGTCGCTGATATTATTACCTTCTATGTCAGGATGATATACAAATGCATACTATGTAGTAGTCGACTGTTTGCTAGTTTATTACTTTTAGGCATTTATCGAGAAGTGGGAGAAATGCTCTCCCCACTTACTTGACTTAAGACAACCGGATAGTATCACTAACCTGTATACTTACACCATAGCTAAAAGCCAAGTACACACATTTGTACTTGGTGAATACGATAAATAATAACAATGAATCAACAATCAAGTGTGTTACCTAAATATTATCGATAGAATATATAAATATTTAAAAAGAATATCAACTAGGCATATTAATGTCTGTCAGTGAATAAACATTCATTTTGTTTACTTTTGTTCATACATATATTCGGAGTACAAACGCGTGTACTCGTCTATCCTAAATCAAGTTGGTAAGTGTGGTTTGAACTTGCAGCATAATGACTGCTAGCTGAATACAATCACTTAGCCACAACTCTGCAGCATAAATCAACTGTTTTATAATAATAATAATCGTCATTCATAAACCTATTGAAAACTTTAAATGTATTCACGTGATTTTTTATTCTAAAAATATAAATCCACTCATATAATTATTGATTAAAAAGTTCAATTAAGAAATGTTATCAGTTGTGCTAATCAAATTAAAATTAAATTGATAAATGTTAATATGTTGTAATGCAGTCACCTGTTTTAGTTTGTCATTTTATCTCACACTGAATTGATAACTCTGACTAAAAAAATATTCTACAATATATATTCAATAACAATTCACTGTTCATCTAAACACTCAATTTTTTAATTCATGTTCAAATAGTTAGAATTAATTAACATGTATTGTCCAATAATATACATATATAATATGTAGTAGTTATAAGCAGAGATGGATGGTGAATGGTAGTGGAATCCAGGTTGCTCATGTAGTTCTATTTCGGGCTTGTCAGCTGTATTTACCTGCATCTCAGAGTTGATGAAAACTCGGGGACTTGAACTCTATACTGTTCTCACTCATCTCTGCTTATAATACTTTTGAAATAACGGCAATATCGAGGCGATCTGTACAATATGCACACAAGCCAAAAAAAACTGATCAAATGCAGTGGCAAATATCAATGGAAAGATTTAGTTAACCAATGCAAATAATTAATAGGTGGTTTTACCTTAATAAACTGTCGAATAATGCAAGCTGGTAGACGTTCAAGCTAGAGTTATTACTTTGAAGTTAGAGATTAGTATCTATAAAGTATACGAATTGACTATTCAACGGTCAGTGATGTTGATTTCCAATTTACTAATAACATTTTTTTTAGTGAATAAAATCTCTTTACTGAATGCTTCATCTAATCTTGAGGATCTTTTCCCTTTATCTATGGATTCATTTGACTGTACTATTTTCATACATAAATAAAATACTCTGATAGATGATCATGTCCATACTTAATTTAAATAATTTACCAGGTACATGTTTGTTTACTTAGTTTTGAGTTTTTAGTGGTACTACCCGGCCAGCTTATCCGAAGTAGGTGGAGTGAATTTCACACTTGGAATTTACTGACTGGTGACCAAACTCTAACTATTTAGCTACTTCTCCATACTCATCATGCCTACTAAAACCTTATTTTCTTCTGAACTGTCTGATTAGAGATTCTACATCACCTACCGGTTCAGCAGCCTTTGTCATTACTAATCAAGTTTGTTGGTATAAAAACAGCAGGATTTCAAAATTGTGTTATATCTAATGAAATGAAAAATATATAATAGATTGAAATATTATTCAACATATATGTTCAATACTTTTGTTTTGCTATTTTTACCTGTAATAGTCTACAATTCGTTGTGTAATAAACTTTGTAGTTAGATTCCTCTATAGATGAAGTGGTGAAACTTCATCAGTTGAGTTGGTTGGGACACGTGTTGTGTATGCCCAACCACCGACTGCCTCGAAGAGCTTTGTTTTGTAGTGTAGGAATAGGTTGGAAGAAAGTTAGGGGCGGTCAATCCAAAACATGGCAGAAATCCATGAAATCATTGACGAATGGACTGAGCCATGTCGGTAATTGTCGTCTACCTGGTTGGGGTCCGCGAGATGATAATGATCGATGGTTAGAGACCTTGAATGACATGGCTCAAAATCGTTCGCAATGGCGCCGGTGCATTTATTCTCTGTGTTCTCTCAAATCCTAATCTTCTGGATTCTTCAACACCTCTAGTTTTTACTTTCTAAACTTATCTCATTGAATCATACTTCTTGAATATTATGTTCTAATCCTAACCTCTCTGATTACTTCTAATACCTTCACTACCTCTTCTACTATTGGATTTGTATTGACAATTGCATCTTTGTGTGCTGATGTGGTATGGCGACATGAACTGATGTACTTACGTACGAAGTTCTACGTTGCAACTGACTGACTGACTGAGATTCCTCTCTAAGTTACCATAGATAAAGCTCTAGAAATCGTTATTAGCCTCATAGTCATTCTTGATGTCTTTCTATATATATATATATATATATATATATATATATATATATATATATGATAAAGTAATGAAATAATAACCAATTCAATCCCTCATAGTATTATTACCTACTGTAGTATCCAGGATCAGTGTTAAAATAAATGAATTGACTAAAAAAATACATTAACAATTCTGTTGACAACATTACAATAAACAAACAAATTCCAATTAGTTTTAAATTATTAGATGATGTGAAAAAAAAATACTGTTGTTTTGTTATGAATGATCGTCTTTTTTTATTTTTTTCAAAACTAAAGTACAACCATGGGACATATGTAAAGATTGTTGAATTTCATGATTTATATGATGAACTGGTTTTAGTTATACAACTCTTAAAAACCAGAAAGTTCATTGGATAACAGTTTCGTACTAATACAGGACTCTTCCTTCAATGATGATAATACATAACCCCACTGACGATTGAACTAACGAATTCTAGTGATGATGAAGAGTGTTCGATATTTTATCGTTTAATAATATATAATTATTGATTAAGTGAAAAAGTGACATTTTAGCATAGAAATAAGATCTTCATTG